GAAAGGTGTTATTTTGTTTAAGGTTTGCGCAGCTACCTACCTCACCTCCCAAAATCATCGGTGAACGGAACTGTGGCAGCTAGAACCACTGTATGACAAGTACGCGGTTATTACAACTGATGGTGATGATGATGATTATTTCGTGAAAGAAATAGTTCATTTCATCGGTCCCATACATACCTGTGCGCTAAATCGTATTCGTCGAAGTGAGCTTTTAGCCCCGGCTTACTTATCTGACCTCTGTCACATTTTGGGGGGCGAGTTGGCCCATGTGGTTAGAGCGCGAATTTACTGACCAGAAGGCCCGTTGTTCGGATCCGACCTCCGCCTCTCGACTTACCCTGACTAGGCCTGGGCGACCTGGCAGCATCCCAGCTTACCTCGGGTGGCGAAGCAGTTAGGCACCGAAAGGATGCTACAACCGAACGATTCATACTGGTTACCTACTATTTGTTTGAATTACTTTGGACCACAAGTGTATATGAGCGTTTTTGAAAAAAAAATTGAAATGTATTGTCTTTTTAAACGTGGACCAACTTCATTTGTGTAGTATGGTAGTCTCGTGCGTTTTTTTTGTCCAAGGGAAGCAGCTCGTACGTCACTCACATCTGCGTACACCACGGTTTATCTTCTCAAAATCCTCTTACAACTAGAAGGGGTTGTTTGTATTCATTCCATCACTTCTTCACTCTGTCCGGCAGGCGGTGCATGCATTGGAATCGCAAGTTTCGCTCAATCCACTCGCCTGCAGACCAGACATTGACCAGCTAGTTGATATTTCCACTCAGCGGCCACTGGTGAGTTTCACTGAAGTCGAACCGAATCGTCGGATTTAATATTTGAACATGTCAAACATGTCCCAGAGTTTTGTGGAGATTTCGTCCTGTAATTGAAGCCAATCTATGCTGAAAAGCTGAGAAGCCCTGTACAGCTGTTTCATCCTTATTGGGAATCATCAGCAGTGCGCATCTCACGAAACTAGCCGCGATCTCCCGGCTAGTAGTTTGGACACTTAACCGTTCGGCCACGAGTGGCTGATCAGCAGTGTGATTAACTCGCACTTAGGATATAGCGCCGCTCATCCTTCAGTCATGGGAACCACATCACGCGGTCACACGTGTTGACTGGCTCCTCGAGCAACGACCTCTCAGAGGAAGTTTCACTCGTCGGGTGAAGTTTATTCTTCCACTGAGCTACTTATAGATTGTTGGTAGTGTGAGGAGATTTGAGATCTCAAATCTGATCATTCGCTCGTGGCCGAATGGTTAAGTGTTCAAACTACTAGCCGGGAGATCGCGGGTTCGAGACTCTTCGGAGTTTCGTGAGATGCGCACTGCTGATGATTCCCAATAAGGATAGAACGGCTGTACAGTGCTTCCGGCTTTTCAAGCATAGATTGGCTCCACCTACAGGAGGAAGTCTCCACAAAAATCCCAAATCTCCTCACACTACCAAAATGTCCCAGAGTGTTTGTTTGATTTAGCCAACCCCTGTGGATAAATCGGTGTCGTGAATGTCGCCAACCACAAGACCCTCACTCGTAGCGGTTGAACCTGGAAATTAGACCGTAGTTTTGCTTTCTGATTCGCCAACAACTGTACGTTCTGTTCGGATGTTACTTTCTTTTTCATTGGTAGTCTGAGAATTGAAAGTTCAGTGGGGATTTCATCCCGTGACTGATTCCAACTCACCACTCAGTGAGTCAGTCAACTCGTGACCACGTGTTGTAAATTTCGTGATTGAAGGATGAGTGGTGCTGCATTCTGTCTGAATTCTCGGTGCTCACCGCTCTGAGTCGAACGGACTTGATACACTAGCCGGGAGGTCGCGAGTTGCATTCGCTTTGGGGATTCGTCAAATGCGCACTACTGACGATTCCCAATAAGAATAAAACAACTGTGCAGTGATTCTCGGCTTTTCGGCATACATTGGCTTCGGTTACACGACAAATTGTCGATTAATACGTATGTGTTTGTCCGAGCAGTGCGGTCTTGTAATCGTTGTGCTGGCTTGGTTTTGTAAAGCAATCTCTCATTCCCCTTTTCAACATCCTCGGGATTTAGGAGCCTGGTGTCGAAGGGGACGGTGGGCCCTCTGTAAATCCCAGACTTCATGCAAGTTTGTAGGTATTTTCCTGGTGTTATTCACGTAGACTAAACACGTACGGCTTTGTTGCTGCGACTTCCCATTTTTCTTCTTTTCGGTTGGTTCAATTGAACTGAAAGTTTCGACGATCCCATTGGCCGACTCCTTCAATTCAAGTGCCCCCCTCCTCCGTATCCGTGTCTTCATCGCAATCGCAGCATCACAGTCATTGACACATTCGAATGCCATTATGATAATGTCCAAGTATTCACTGACTAGGACCATTGGTTCGCTGTACCTCTTCAAGGCAGTTTTTTTTTCGAAAAACAGGTTAATGGTAAGCTGTAACTGTAGGAAGGTTGTCCGAACAAGCTATTCCATACTTCGTGATTAGACTGCTGGTCTTTAGTCCACACGTTTACAAGGAAACGCTATACTTCAAGTAGCTCAATTGTTGACAAACTATCGTTCGCATGTCAACATCACTTTTTGTAGCTTCTACTCTCATATTCTAAAGCGCTCGACGTCTTCATGCCTGACTTTGACCTCGTCGTTTCGTGGGGCTCCACGAGTTCTTTGGAGCTACCTATATGTCGTCCACATTAACCTAGTTTAGCCATTCCAATAGCTTTTTCTTGTTAATCCATGATGTTACAACCAAGTCCCTTCTTTTTTTAGATCGAAGGTGAGTTGAGGAGAACCAAGGATGTCTTGGATAAAAAGAACGCCATCTTCCATGAGCTTAAGGAGCGTAAACGTTTCCTCCGACAACTGGGCTTCTGTTCTGAAACGGACGAACTCACTTTCAAGGGACGTGTCGCTTGCGAAATCTCTTCAGGAGACGAGTTGATACTAACCGAGCTATTGCTCGATAACTTTTTCTCCCCATTGACTCCGGTACAGCTGGCTGGTGTGATGTCTTGTTTCGTGGCGAAGAAACCCGTTGGAAAACACCAACACACACAATTACGCCCCGACATGGCGCAGGCTCTGGAAACCATAAAAGTGAGAGCCATCCATCGTACGTCTTTCTGCCATTTTTTTTGCTGTACTCTGTTCGTTTTGAATGGGGATCCAGACCTGCCACAATCAGTTGGTCGGTCAGTTGCCATAGTTTTGAAAGAAAATCCAAGCCGATTTGTGTCGATAAAGTAAAAAAAGTGGGATAATTCAGTCGGGACCGCATAGATACCGTGGACCCCTTACCCTTTCATAGCTTGTGGTAATGTAACTTACCACGAACTACGAACAACAGAGGTCAGTATTTTCCGACAGATTTTATCATAATGCGTGTGTTACATGCATGTTCTCTTGTGTGAACTCCCACTATCCTTTTTCGGGGACGATTGGTTTTGCCACTGACTGCTTAGTGTATTCGTTGAGCTTTACAACCTTTTTGAAAAATTTACTGATCGCTGCCATCTGTTTGCATGAATGCATTGCATCTCACAGCTTGCAACATGATCTTGCAATCTTGTCGCAGGCAAAAGCACGTTCCCTTGCTCGGGTTGCAATCGAGTGTGGAATCTGCTATTCTCGTGGATCGTCAGACCCTATTAACGAGAAGTCCGATGACATAGCCAATTTGGCCGCACAGCTCAACAATTGGATGCGTTTAGTAGCCGATGAGCAGGCTTGTGTTGACCAATTTTCTGGCCACCTCATGGAAGTCGTACGTGCCTGGGCCGAGGGAGTGTGTTTTGCCCGACTACGTGAATTTGCACCACTATCCGATGGCATTATTATTCGGTGTCTGAGAAAACTGAGCGGACTTCTCCGACAGATGCACAATGCGGCAAAAGTTGCCGGACGTACAGAATTAGGAAACAAGTTTTTGGAGGGTAGGTTATAACTAATCTTACTGTACCAGGAAGTCGTAATTTTATGCCACATTTTTCCACTTTTCATTTTACGCCAACCTAATCATAAAACTCGACCTCTAATTTTAACATGGAGGTCGTTAGTTTCTACAATTCGGTGCTTGAACGTTCGGTGTTTTTATTCGTGGTCACCACATACTCTCCCTTTATATGCGACTCCCGCATGAACTTCCGGAATTGATGTTTCCGTCAGATATGCTTAAACGACGTTCAACAGAGACTGCTGCACACATTGAACTGTTGGTAATGTTTTGGAATATTGGTAGCTCGGGTNACATTGAACTGTTCCCGAATCCAATTCGGTGCAATGCTCTTCTGCCTTGGAGAAACTACTCTCGTGGTGTATCATAGCTTACTCTCTTTCCATGACATTGGGACATCCGAACAATTCAATGTATCAACTACAAACCGTGTACAATGGGCACATTGGTTCCAGCTATTACAGTTTTGATCACCGAAAAACCGGACAGTGTAGGACATGCAGCCAAGCTTATGAGGCATGGTCAGTTTGTTTGGAAATCGGGAAGCNAGGAGACATCTTCAGTGCGCTTCAACAGCGCACTGAAGATGTCTCCTCGAATGGTGCCGAAACGTTTGCAAATCAATTGCCAAGCTCGGCGAACAGATCAACAGCCACCTGATCAATTACCAACATTGAACTGTTCCCGAATCCAATTCGGTGCAATGCTCTTCTGCCTTGGAGAAACTACTCTCGTGGTGTATCATAGCTTACTCTCTTTCCGTGACATTGGGACATCCGAACAGTTCAATGTATCAACTACAAACCGTGTACAATGGGCACATTGGTTCCAGCTATTACAGTTTTGATCACCGGAAAACCGGACAGTGTAGGACATGCAGCCAAGCTTAGGAGGCATGTTCAGTTTGTTTGGAAATCGGGAAGCTACGCACTGAAGACGAGAGCTTTCGTGCACGAGCGACATTGACCGCACGAGTGGGCATTTCTGTTAATGTCATTAACGGTTGATGAGTCGAGTCCCGGGGTCCCCACACAAGGACGCGGCAGTTGTCGACCGACTTAGTTTACCGGGTGATACACTGTCCACCTCTCGGTCGCTGACACTAGGCACAGGGCTGGGTGAAAGGACCTCTTTGAGACAGGCGATCTTCTGGCACGCAGAGTACATGACCTAATCAGCATAGCTTATGAAGCGTGAGTAATTCATCTATCGCTTGAGATTTCCTTCTTCCTAAGACCATCTGGCCTAGCTCAGCATTGCTAGTTCAATGTTCCCATCAGACTTGCTTCGGAGACACCGTTCATCTGAACGTTGGTGTCTAGTTGAGGATAGCAGGTTATTCGGTGTGATTCACTGGGAAATGATCTAACTGCATTTTTAAAGCTGATTCAGAGATCACAGCCTTATGTGAACACTCCCTGCTCGATCTCGTTAATAGCGTTTCTTAGGCATTGTAATAGCCGAGTAGTTTAAACTAATCGGTGAGAACAGCAATTTTTCTGGGTGAACTCATTTTGCACAATCTCGTCTCCCTCGTACCTACTGAACGGAACAAAATACAGGGTTAGTTGTGAGCCGAAACAGTTACGGGCCGGATCGATAAAACCATGGTAGTCTCGAAGTTTACTCTCAGGTATTTCTGTGCTCACACAATCAAGGCCTGAATCGATTAAGCAATAATGTCTCAAAAAACTTTAGTCTAGATAGACGAATTCTTCAGACAATGCGCTGGAAAGAAAAGTAAAATTCGACTGTGTGTGCTATCTCGTCTTAATCCTTTGTAATCGGTTACCTGACTGATAAATCTGCACCAGCTGACAGAATATGAATCCCTTTTGAAAACTGCCCTTTTGCTTGCGTTTTATTGCCGTAATCAGTTCTACTAATGTATGTATCCCCACAACTGCTGTAGGTGGATTGGTAAATCCAACGAAAAAGATAACAAAACTTATTTTTGGTCTTATGTCATGAAGAGACTGGACCTTACCGTTGTGTGACGGTTTGCGCACCTCAGCGATCCATTGAGCTATACTGGAAAGTGTCCGCGCGACACTCACAGTCATACCAGATTTGTCAGTGGTTAGAGGTCTGACGAACACAGTCTCTCCTCCAGGTTGAGGGGACTCCGAGATGGGCCACATCAATGGCTAGAGACATTATCACACATGGCCCAGTCGCGCCCTCAATGGCGCTCGTGCATCAAAGCTATTGCCTTCAATGCATAGCTCCTTTTCCAACCCCC